CCCGGTTTCCTAATTTGTGATGATGATATAAGACTTCAAATTGAACACATCAATTGACTCCTGGTTGGGCCCAACATTATAAGTCAACACCAAATCACAGAAGGACCCACATGTATCGCCAACGATTGGGGATTTCAGAGAGAAGGTAATCGGTGTTGGTGAGGAAGGGCAGAGGTGAAAGCTAAGGTTTCTATGGAGACGGATGGCTAGAGTGAGAGAGTAAAGCATGTGTGATGGAAGGGGTAAAAGCGCAAGAGAAAAGGGAAACAATTAGATGAAACCAAAACCCAGGACTGAGCGAAGAAGTCGTTGTTGGCGCCGATGTTGCCGAATCAATCACCACTTCATATACAAATAAGATTTGTAGAATAAATTAGATAGAAAAATGAAGTGAGTTAAGGAATTGGAAATTAGTTAGGGTTTCATTGAGGCTTCAATCTAGAGAGAGTAGAAGCGGGTTGAGATGATCCAAAATAATGACTTAATTCCTTATATCTATCAACACGTAGTTTTAGCAGAAGGAAGTATTTAGTGGCATATATTAGTTTATATGATATACAAATTATACTTTTAGTGGTATTTTAAATCTTAGTGTCATTGATAAGTTTGAATATTAGTGTCACAAAATATTATATGTCACTAAATCTAATAACTTTTTTGATGACACTTATGTATGTCACTAAAACTATAATATAGTGGCACAAAAACAATGTGTCATTAAAAGTGTATGCCAATAAATGTCATTTTGTTTGTAGTGTCGTAATGAGATATAGGGCGTGTTTGGCAAAAGTAGCTGTTAGCTGGAAGCGGGTAGCGGTTAGCTGGTAGCGTGTAGCTGGTAGCTGGTAGCGGGAAACTGTAGCTTTTATTTGTTATATGAATGTTTGACAAAAGTAGCTGGAAGCTTTTGAAATATATAAAATTACATAAAAGGACAATTTATTAAAAATAAAAAATATATAAATATATTTTTAAGGGTAATTATGGAAATTGATTTCAAAAGCTCCGGAGCGTTTTGTTAAAAGCTACATGAAGTAGCTTTTAGAATCGGAGCGTTTTGTTAAAACTAAAAGCTAAACGCTTGTACTGCCAAACGAAGCTTTTTGTTTAAACTAGAGCGTTTTATCAAAAGCTAAAAGCTAGAAGCTTCCAAACGCTTCCAAAAGCTCCGTGCCAAACACGCCCATAGAGGAATCTATGGGGATGACGCTTCCCCTTCGCAAGATAGACTACCTAACGGAAATGATGCATTGGTAGACTGATTTTATTTTTTTCACCTTGGTATATACTTGGGGATATTGCTAGACCTTACGCATAAAAATGGCAACGGTTCACACTGGAATTAGCTCTTAATGAAAGAAGTAATGAAATGTGAAAAGAATTGTTTGTTGAGTTATATTATGACTAATGAAATGTTTTGATATGGAATGCAATGTAGAAAATGTCTATTTGGAATATGTTTGCAAAGACTAAATGTTTTTGATGAAAATGTGATAAATGTTTGGTTCATAAACCTGTGTAACTCACGAGACATTATTGTCTTACGTATCTCTTTTAATGTCATGTATCCTATGTTATACATAAGGATAGAATGTTGACTGATAGAAGCTAGATGATGTGTCATGATAGATAGAGTGGAACCTGTTAAGTTTCTTAATATTGGTATGGATGTAATTCTTATTTGTTTGCTATGGTTTGTATGATGCTTAATGGTAACATCCAACTTTTAGTTGTAAATGTTTTTGTAAGATCGGTTTTTAGTAAACGAGGGTTAATATCTTAATGTTCTTATAACTAGACCATTTAAAAAGTTGGAAAAAATTGGGGTGTTACAAGTACAACATCAATGCACAACCATGTAGAAATATATTTATATTTTGTCAGGGAACTTGTTGCATGCTATCGGATATGTGCGTATGTTGCATGTGCCATCAACGCACCAGTTTACAGATATATCATTTACGAAGGGTCTTCCTACTCAATTATTTTTTGATTTTCAACACAATTTAAATATTTGTAAGCCCCTTATTGAAACTCGGAGGGGGTGTTAGTTAAAGTTGTTTTATTCTCTTTGTATACTTTAGAGGCCCTATTGTAATATTGTAATATTTTTTCAAATTTCATATATGTACTTCTGCAATACATATGCCTCCACTTAGAGAGGCTTTTACCAAATAACATGTACAAATCAAAATATTATGTTTATTGTTATAAACTTGGTTTGGAGTGTACAAAAATTTTGTAAGCTTATTTAAAATTGTCACTAACATCCCCAAAGTTTCACTTACTATCACCTTTAACAATAACTTGATCTTTCTATTGACAAGTAACAAGTCATATCACGACAATGAATGCCATCCTTTCTTCAAAAGATGGCTGCCATCAGGAAAAAATATTTTTTATACCAAGAAAAAGAATGTTGTGTTAATGTAAGTGTCAACGCCCTTGCTTCTCTCAGGTAATGTTCCATTTTATTGTGTCGATGTAACAAAAATGATCACAAAAGAAGAAAAAAAACATAGCAAGTCATACTAAAACCAGAAAGAAAAAGATACAAGCAATGAACCGGGAAAAAGTTTTCTTGCTCGGAGTTAGGTTTCAGTCATCATAAAGCAAAAACAATTTGAAGGTTCCATAAAGTGAAGACATTATCATGATAACATCAACAATCGATTTGAAAAGACAGACATTATGTTTTGCATTCAATTTTTTAGTTTATGGTCTTTCTTTGAAAGAACACAGCTATATTAAGATTCAACTAATTATAGCTGTATATATTTTCCCTATATAATACAATATTTATCGACATTAATGATATTTGGTTCTTTTAAATACCACCATCATTACTAATCTTTAACTTTTTGTTTAAAAAAGCCATCGTCGTAGATGGCTTTTGTATTTTATTATAAAAATGTATATGCATCTATGTTTTTCCCGTATTCTTTTCCAATTTTGTTGCTTATTATTTATCATTTCATGGAATATATATATAACGTGAAAAATATTGTGATATGCTTATGCATGCATCATGATCGATGGACACGTCTTTATATTAGTCCAAATATTCTTTTCATCCCAAAAGAGAAATTCGACTTTCATTATAAATTTCTAAAAACCGGACTACTAAAGTTCAAGGTTTTTATTTAGATTCCTTTTGCTTTTTCTATTTTGAAGATCTTCATGACTTGATGTTATATTCATATTTTTTTTCCCTTTTTTAGCAACCAAAATATTTAGCACATATACCTAAATGGGATGCAACACTCATGAACACTTAATTGGCGTAGCGTAAGGCTTGAACTCTCATACATATCTCCCAAAAAAAAAAAACTCGTATATATCTATGTTTCATATATATATATATACTATCTTATAAAACAAATCTCAATATTTCTAAAAATAGATTAAATAAAATAATAATATTTTTTTAAGACGTTTAAATCATTAAGCTAATTGTACAACTAATAACTAATAAAATAATATTAAAATTTAAACAAACTCCTATAAATCTTCTATTCCAAGGTTTTGACCAGATCTTTTTTTATCCAAATAAATTCTCAACACCCTATAATTTGATCATTTCATGAATTTTTTTTATTTTTAATATGACATGATTTTTTTTTATTTTTAATATAACATACTTCCTAAAACAAACTAATGATTGAATTGAAAATAACCATTCTCTATTGAAAAAAAATTAATTGTCAAAACAAACTATTTATTGTCCGCCGCTTTGCGCGGGTAAACGGCTAGTATATATATATATATATATATATATATATATATATATATATATATATATATATATATATATATATATATATATAATATCGTTTGTTTTAAAACGCCTAAAAAATGCAGTATTTAACTTTTTTATAAGATTTTAAACCATATCTATTAATTTTTCTAATAATTATAATTACGTTTTTGTGAAACTAATAGTTAACTGTTTACAAGTTTCGTAGTTTTACTTACTTGAAAACCTTTTAAGTTTTTAATTGTTGATCAAAAAGTGTATTAAAGCATGTAGGAAATAAGCGTTTCATGTTCTTAGACGAGATGAATAGAATATGTTTTTTATTTTTGAGAAAATAAAAATAATTGTTATCAAATAATTTGAAAATAATCCATCTAACACTAAAAATCCAACAATGGGACTTACCAATACGTGAATATGTTTGTGAAACATGGTCATTTTTTCAAATTTGAAAAATGGAGTCGAATGATAGGGGATGATTTAGCAAGTAATTAAAGAATATTAAAGCATGCAATACGTCTTCTAAAGGAAAATAAAAATTGGTTAAGTAGAGGCTCATCTCAATCACCATTGATTGAGAATGAGTGTTGTAATTAAGCAACATTAATTAATTCCTAGTTACAATCCCATGTTCAAACCTTCGATCATGATTACATATTATAAAAGAGTACTAAGTTTCATCTCAAAGTAAATTACTTGAGACTTGAGAGCCAGATAGGAGAGGGGGAGAAGGGAAGGGAAGGGAAGGAAAAGGGAAAAGTTGACCTGAGTCCTAACCATGGTTGATGTGTTAGAGATCGCAAACCAAGAGATTGAAAATATCTCTCAAGGCTTACTTTCCAAATGCATTTGAACTCCATTTCCATTAACGAAGCCCAAGATACCTACCTAAAAAAGTCGGTAAAAACCCTAAATGCACTACAACTACACCTTAATGTTATTTAGTAACATGGCTAAACAAAATCCCATTGTTTACCCAAAGTGAATTTACAAAGAAATTTTAAAAAAGAAACATGATCACCCCTTCTTACCATAAGAAAGGATGATCCGTTGTTTTCCGAGAAAGAAATTTTTTTAGAAATAGTTTTAACAAAAACATGCTAGCCAAGTTTTTAAAAATCTAAGACTAGGGTTCAAGTTAAGAAAAACAAAAACTTAAGGCACGTTCCAATGCCCCATGATTAATTAAACTAATGTATATATTTATATATAAAAAAAGACACCATTTATCAAATTTTGAAACTTGAAGCATTTACAAACTCTCTTTAATACAAGAGAAATGAGTTGATTATATGATGTCTTAGTTTTTTTTTTTTTTTTTTTTTTGACCTTTTCCCATAGGCCAAGAATTTATATAAAAATTTCCCCAACTTATGAACCTTTTTCCGTAGCCATAAGTTGGTGAGATGCACATGCATATGCTTTTTGGGGTGTCCTTCTCTTGTAGGGGACCCTGCCCTTTAAAGAGAAGATAGAAAAATGTCCTCTAAATTTGGATGGATAACCCCTATGGGGGGCTTGATTCCATACCTTGGATAACCTTGACTTACAAGGCTTCCATGAAAGAGAGACAAAGAAAGAGATAACCATGGTTGGGCCAAAGGTCGGGTGGGTTTTTTGTTTTTTCAGAATGGAAAAGATTCTGAGAATAGAAAGAGAACTATGCATGCATGCAGGCTCGGTTTCATCAACGTAGTTCTTGAATCTCTTAATGATGAGCAGCAGGCGATTGTAGAACCATGTTTACGCCTGTGGTACAGCAAAACAAACTGTCAAAAATGTTAGTAACAAATCATTAGAATCGATTAGTTTGTCGTTAGTGTGATTAATTAGAAATGAAAGAAACGTTATAGTATATAATAAATTATAAAATCTATATATTTAATGCAAATTAAACCTGCAGGTTGCAATGGTGGAGTAGCTGCTAGGGAGATCGGAGTGCCATATTGTTGTGGGTATCCTCCTGAAGAATTCACGGCAGAATACTGATAAAGATGATGAGGGTACACACCATAGCTTTGACCAGTTGCGTAGTTTCCATGACCACCTTCCGCCATGTTCAGGTAGGGGTAGAAGGCGGCGGCTGCGGCGGCGGCTCCGGCGGCTGTCATCATACCACCACCGGCATTTGCTCCATAATATGGATACTGCCCATTTGTGCCTCCATAAACATTATAGTAACTCTGAATTAACACAAGAAACCAGTCAGGTTTTAAAAACCAAATTTAAAAATAAAAAAAAAAACGACGTAACTTGAAAACATACCGTTGGATATGTGTAATCTGGAGAATATGGAGAGTATCTGAAGATCCAAGAATAAGGAAAATTAGAAAAATGAAAACCTAACGTATAGTGGAAGTTATAACACGACTATTAAGTTTATGCATGGGATGCATGAACGAATATTTTAAAGAAAAGAAAAGAAATGAAATGAAAGAACAGAATACAATCATCCATACATATAGTACATGGCATATGCCTGCTGAAACGGATTAAAAAAAAGAACGAAAGTCCCAAAATTATCTTTAAAGTCGTAATGGAAGTACTGTAATGTACAGTACTGCTCATGTGCGGTTTGCAGGTTAGTTTGACTAGGGTCAGAGAGAGAGAAAGAGTGTGTGTGAGAGAGTGTGTGTGTGAGAGAATATATATAGAGAGAGAAAGAATGGGATTGCAATCATGATGGCTAGGCATGTGGATGATAGAGCACAGCAAAGCACGCCTGGATACAGAAACGCCAATTTACAGAAGAAACCTTCAAATATTGTTAAATTATTTCTCTGTGCCCACATGCTTCAACTAATATATTTATTCTAACAACCTTTTATATATACGTATATGTACGTATGTATATGTCTATATATACACACCAACGCATAAAGATTAATTAGTAGCAGGGAATGTGATACTTGGTGGCTACATTCCATGCATAATGCATATATACATATAGAGACATGTCTATGTATGTATCTAGAGAGAGAGAGAGAGAGATTATACCCATAAAGATTAGTAGCAGGGAAAGGGATGCCTTGGTGGATGGCATAATGAGGGAAGGCTGTAGCAGAAGGGAAAGCTGTCGTCCCCATTCCACCTGCACCACCAGCTTGATGATGGTTATGATTATGATTATGATGATGATACCCTCCTCCATAACCACCCATGACCCTAATGGTCCTTCCTCCACCTACATTAATTTATACATACGTATTTATTAGTTATTACTACACATATTATACGTACATGCTTTTAAGTCATGATGGTGATGTATACAAAAATATATATATGCATATGTTATATGTATGCTAAACTGTTGTACTTTAATTGATCCCAAGTGAATTCATGACTTGCAAGCAAACAGATTTCTTTTGACAGATTGTACTAAGGAAATCGTATTCGTACGAATTACATGATTTTTTCGTTGGAGATAGGTCTATAAGTTTACTGAAATAACCCTAATGTTATAAGAAACGAAAAAAGAAAATGAAGTGAAATACATGAGTACCACCAAGTTGAGCTAGCTGTATATGACCTGTCTTTTTTTTTTTTTTTTTTTTTTTTTTTTTTTGCTTTTATGAAGAAAAACATATAGATACATATATCATGTATGCATGTTTTTGTGGTTGTGGTTGTAATTAAAGCATTACACTGATATATTTCTTTATAAAAGTGGAAACCCTACCTCACTCGATAATATTCATTGATTCTCTTTAATAAAAATAAAAAAACACAATTTTTTTTTCTTAATCGTTATTTTGCAATGGATATTCATCTTCCAGCTCCACTTCTTTAATTCGAACCCATGACCATGAGAAATTATCTTTATAGATTAACAATAGGCTGCCCAATGTATAGTTGCGTATATATACATGATCATGTCTACGAACAATTCGTTTTCTTAAAAGATTCCAAATGCTAATCATAATTAACCAACCGAAAGTCGTAAAAGATTTGTAGTTTTATAAATTCAAGAATACCAACATGAAATAATACTTTCTATGAACAAATTTAAACCCGTTATTGTAATTAATTAAGAGAAATGATACATACCGAGTTTGTTAGGGGTTGAGGGTTTCGATCTTTGAACACCCAAAGAAGCAAGATTGCAGTTGGCCCTCCTGCCGTCAATCACCGGAGCTGCATCAACACAAGCCCTCATCGCCGCATCGGCTTCCCGGAAAGTCACCTGCATTTTTGGTCGGAATTTGGTGTCAAATAGTGGCATATAGAACAAAACTCACATGATAGCCTAACTTTGTGTCTTCGTTTGATTACAATTATTTTCCAAGAATTTAATATACAGAAAACCCTTAACCAACAACCCATGTTCTACACGATCTAGATGTAAATATGCTTAAAAAAGAAAGTAAAAAGAAGAAGAAGAAGAAGAAGAAGAAGAAGAAGAAGAAGAAGAAGGGATCATACAAAGCCATAGCCTTTAGATCTGCCAGTGGTCTTATCAGTGATGACAACAGCTTCCAAGATCTCACCAAACTGCTCGAAGTACGTTTTCATGGTATCTTTCTGGGTTTCCCAAGCCAACCCACCAACAAACACTTTTGTGTAAGTCGTATCACCAAACTGTCCGGCCGTGTAATTAGTAGGTGTCGCCGCCGCAGCCGCCGCCGGAGTCATCTTTCTTTTCTCTTGTTTTCTTGGATCTTCTTTGGGTGAAATTGGGGTTTGCTATAAGGGAAGTGGTGAGGAGTAGCTAGCTAGGGTTTAATTGAAAAGAAGAAAACAAAGGGGGAAAGAAAGTGATGGTGTTGATGATCAAGCAGACAATTGGGTCAGAGATCCAGCTATTAAACTGCGAGGGAAAAATAAAGCAAAATGGGAAACAAAGAAATAAGAAATGGTGGGAGAGATGGAGGGAGAAGAAGAGAGAAAAGCAAAAGGTGGAAAGAGGAAAGGGCCTATCATAATACGGACATCAATTATATACACCACCAGTGACACCCCACCATCTCTACCACCTTCTAACCCTGCGATTGCAGTATACTTTCTTGGTCAAACCTTGATAGAGCATCGAAATATGCTCAAGATCTATGTAAATAAACAATGTTAAATCATTCAAAGTTTTAAACACCTCATGTACTTGTAAAAATGTCAAAACATTTTCATTTATCATTTTTTTGTTATTTACTGTAACCTTTAAATAAAATCACCATATCCTATTTTGTTTGATTTAAAATTTTTAATTTTGAAATGAGAGTATTTTTGTAATTTTTTAAAAAAAAGAAATCTACATTTAAACTTTCATGAATATGACTTATTAATGTACTTAACTTTCGGTTTATTCAAATCTGGGTAATTATATTTTTTTGTACATATCTAAGTAACAAACTTATTGAAAATATTCACATATGACTTGTTGTAGCATGTCATAATGGTCATATGTGAACACTTTCAACAACTTCGTTATTTAGATGTGTAGAAAAAAATAGTTACCTAAATACAAACATAACCAAAAGTAAGAGTAAATTACATGAATAGTCCTTCTGGTTTTGAAGGAATTTGTGTTTTTGGTCTGTAACTTATTTTTTTTAAACTCGTATGGTCTTTATTATTTATTTTTGTTGCGCGCTTGTTCTATGTCTTACCTAAAAAGACTATTGTGCCCTTATTAATTTATTCTTTTAATTAATTTTCTTAATTATGTATTTATTTTTTATATATTTAAAAAAAATTAATAGACCCTACATATCTGTATCTCCTTACCGTAAACTTGAAACCATATTTAAGAAATTTAATCTGGGTCCTACTGGTCATCATCTCATTCTTCATCCTCCTTAACTTATATTTTAATTATATCTTTAATGACATTGACGTCTTCACCATCCTCTTCTTTTTTCAGTTTTTCAACTCCAGCAAACCAACGCCACAACCCACTGTCTCCTTCAACTCCGACAAACTCTATATATATAGTTATGTGTACGTATGGTACAATTTTGGCTAAAACCCCACCAAGAACCGAATAGGTATGTTTTTAACTTGTTAAAAGTGCATGATACATTTTGTGTTTGGTGCAATTTGCAGTGTAAATGTGTGTTTGGTTCTATGTGGTTCGGTTAAGGTTATAAACAGCAATAAGTATGGTGGGTTTTTACATTAGGATTATATAAAACCATAAAACCAAAGTATTGTAATCATATTTATTTAGTTTTGTAATAATTTGAACATAAATATAAGACAACTTTACGGGAAGCAGTGGCTAAAATGCTAGAAACTGTCAAGAAAATTAACAATATGTATATAAGAGCGTTCGATCGAGAAAATTTCTTATCGCGAGAACATTTGAGAACAAAAATTACCTTTTAATTTAACAAAGTGGCAATTTTGTAATTAATTCAGAAACTAGATGCAAAGAAAATAAAATTTTAAAAACACAGGGGAGATATTATAAATGCAAAACGAAACCGAATCATTCTTCACATAACTACTCGTTCCCCCTCATTTCGTTCCCCATAACTTCTCTCTCTACTTTTCTAGAAAGAAAACTCTCGAAAAAAACCTAAATCTTCGCCGATAATCATCAAAATCGAACAAAAAAATCTAGATAAAATCAAAAATGTCATCAACGATTGATTTCCAGAGAACAAATGTTTCAGATCAAGGTAAAAATCAACGCATTCCTTGACTTTGTATTGAACTTACAACAACCAGAAAATGAACTTTACACCAGTATCAAGAGTCTAACATGAGACAGAGAGTAGGTGCAAGATCGAGCACCGTTTGCAGTAAAAAGACCGAGAGTTAGATACTCATTCGAAGGAACAGAGAAGTTACGATTATTACCTAAGATGAAGAGATAACTTATGGAGTCATTATATAGCTATGTTTCATTGATGATTTCAGGACGTAATCATCCTAAGGGGGAGATAATTGTAACGCCCGCAGATTCAGGCTAGTCAATTTGGAGATAATAAGCGTCAAAAATGACTTTTTGATAGAAGATTATTTATAATTCACAAGGGTTCCGTACATATAAAGAACGTCGAAATTTGAGTTATAACGAAGAAGTTATGACCCGTCGAAGTTTTACGGCTAAACCGGCACGACACCTCGTAACGTAAAAAGTGAATTTTTTATAAATTACCTTTTTAGCTTTAGAAATCTAAACAAAAGTCGTAGTATACGTTAAACCGAGACCGTGCATAAAAAGAACTTCAAAATCTGACTTCGTATAAGGAAGTTATGATTTTTCTAAGATTTAGCATAGGAGTGTACAGCCCGGAATTTGATTTATGATTGAGCGATTTTTAGCCAACATAACCTAAATGAGAATTGAATATCTCATTAATATGAGCTGAGCGAAAAAAATGCTGTCGAAAACGGAGTCTGTATGTAGAAGTTATGAATTTTACACTGTCGTTAACAATGTAATATTCTCATACTGTTAAATTTAAAATCGGTTGAGAATTAGACAATGGAGTCTAAACGAAAATTATAGATTATGTATGCACCTACGCGTGGATATGAAGAATGTTGGAAACGAAGCTCGTATGTGAAAGTTACGGGGTTTAGAAATCGGTAGGGTGTTGTTGCGAAGGGGATGATGTGGTTGTCTGGTTGAATCTGGGTCATTGTTTTCTCCCCAAGTCTTGCCACTAGATGGTGATATGTGGCATGAAGTTGAGACATATTTCAGCCTATAAATAGAGCCATCATTTCTTCACACCTCCACCTTTCTCTTTCTCTCTCTAACTTCTCTTTAAACCTCCCCCCCCCCCCCCCCTTAAAGCCCTACGAAACTTCCCTAGCGCTAGGAGAAAGCTCTGGAACGCTCGATGGCTCTGACAAAAAATAGATTTTTGGCTCAGAAGCTTTGCTCCAGTGGAGCTGGTTTTTAGACATACGCAATTACCCTTAGTCTGAGAGTATGGATAGGACATAGTTATTTGTCATTAATTATGGAGTATGGATTGAGGCATAGTCAATTGTCCCTACTCCGAGAGAATGGAATGGGCACAGTTATTGATCCGAGAGCATGGATTAGACATATTTGATCCAAGAGTAGGGAATAAGTAAAAAGGTAAATTTTAGATCTGAGAGTATGGACAGTGTCTTTGAGAGGATTGATGGGGTGGGTTAGAGTTGTTTATACATGGTGAAATTGTACTTGTGAGTTCGAATATTTATATTTATATATATATATATATATATATATATATATATATATATATATATATATATATATATATATATATGATATAACATTGTGGGATTGAAATCCCTATATACTCACCAGGTTTCCCAACTTGACCCACTCAGTTTATTTGTATCACAGGTGTCGATATGAAGTTACATTACACTGAGAGATTAAGGAGACGTAGATCACTAGTGTAAATAAATGTAAGGTCTGTTTATGCTTATGTTTCTGTATCGACGATAACATCCCAAAGTTTTAAAATGAATAAAATACATTTCTTCAGAAATGCTTTAATAACGTATTTATCATGTTTTTCTGGGAACAAATTCTGCAACATATTTCTTTAAAATATACTATGATTTTCAAAATAAAGCATAAACAAATCGGTCTTTTCTGGCCGTAAAAATAAGGATGGCACATATAATCTACAAAAGGATTGAATCACATGTGATTAGCATATTTTATACGTACAACAAAGATTGAATCACACGCGATTACAATGTATATAACAATTAATTATTATTTCTCATGACTTGGATTAATCATATTCGATTTTCTTATAATACATGTATTTGTACATCTCATAAACTAATAAAGAAGAGCCAATGCACAAAGAAACTTCAACTAAAAAGTTTACCAAAGCAACAACTAGAATATCAACTGAAAATCTCGACTTCTTCTGGAATAGTAACATTATAAAGATTCTCAAGGACATCCGAATTTGTAATCGGCTTTTCACTTGAAGAATTAATCTTCACCTTATTCAAAAAAAGATGTGTTTTTTCAGCCAAACATGCTAATTTCTTCTTATCATCTCTCACAATGTCTAAAGCAGTTTCAACATTGAAAAATACTTAATTAACCAGTTTGTAACTTCTTCATCCTCTTCGTCAAAACGGCCTCTCGATAGCTAATAATTTGAAGATATTACATCATTTGTCCATCGCCTAAGAATATATTGTTCCGGCATTTCATTAAAAAAAAATTCATCAATACTCTAAAAGCATGTCTGCAAAGCATACCAAAACAATTAAAATGTCCACAGGTGCAACTCACTTCTTTTTCATCATATTTTAGTTCCACCTGTAATAATGAAAAATCACATATGATTACACATTAATCACATATGATTATACAATAAATATCACAGTCTGGTTTAATCACATGTGATTAACATCTCTATACACACAAAATATATCAGTCACATATGATTACACACATAAAAACAATATACACACTAATTTAATCAAATGTGATTTAAAAAAAATTAAAATTTGCTCTGATCGCATCTAAAAACTCATTATCTTAATAATCACATGTGAGTATAATAACATATACCTATAGTCACATATACTCATTATCTTTATAATCACATGTGATTGATCACAACATCATTATAAATAAAAAATAAATAAATAAAATACATTGATATGTTGCTTTTACTTCGTGTTTTTGGTTCTTGTGAATAACTTTAAAATTTTCTCATCCATCTCCCTCGCCTAAATATTTAACATCACAAAGCCAACCTCCTTTATAAATCTCCTTTAGAACTTCAAAGAAACATTGCTAGTGTACACCTTTGTTGCATGTTGTTCTATCATATGTGGTGACCTCCAAGAATAATTTACTCTCTTAGTTTTATGATCAAGTTCACATTGTGTAAATCATTGTTTTTTAATGGCAGCTTCGTAATTCATCATGAAATTGAGAAAGAAAATTTTGGTTTCTGAATATACAATGAAAAATGAATTGAGACTCTTAAACCTTGATGTTGCCTTCATCAACCCACACCTTGGAAAATCAATGAAATATGCAGGTACCCATGATTCCTTATTTTCAAAAATATATTTAAACCATCTCTCATCTTCAAGATTAAATTCTTTCATAAACAGTTCCTAA